AAGAATATTAAAGAGAAAAAAGTCTTATGAAAGAGGCATGTATTGACGTTAAAGGCAGTATGTGTGTGGAGATATTCCTGGTGCGTAGCATGTTGAATCACATGGTATGTTGATGAAAGAAAGAACAGTGGAGGGTGAATGTAAACTGATCTGAACAAAATAGAAATGTCTTCATCATTCTGCATGATCTACTGTCCATTGTTCTCATCCATATGCAAATCTCTCATCCACAGTTATTTTTATTATTACATATATGATATTTATATGGCGCTCATATCCATGTTACTAGTACATGCTCAAGGCATATTTTCCCCCCGATCATTGGATGTCAATATCAACGGCACATCGTATTATCAATCTCAACTCCCAGGGAAACATACAACTCTTGCAGCCACTAGGCGCACCGAGTTAATGTGGCTTTCCCAATCTTTACGAGGTGCCCATTCACAGCTGGGTGGACTGGGACACATAGTCACAGTACTTTGTCCAAGTTTACTGCACGTTGATGTACCCGCAACTAGTTGTCTTCTAGATCTGCTAGTGATACTGTTTTAAAACATCAGTGCATTTATGAAAATGAATAGTGGTGGACAAATGCTGTCTTCAGACCAAGGCGTGTATTGGGAACAATGTCACGAGAGTTGTCATGGAATACTACAGAAAGTGGAGAAATGTACATTTTGTATGTAATTGAACTACATATAGAGAATAAACATTAAGCAAAACAGGAACAGAAAATAATACCTGTGCTTATGAATGGTCAGATGTAACAAGTACACTTTTTACAATCATACATTTGTTAGGTTCTGTAACCTTGGTTACTATTATATATAGCGGAATAATTTCTTTTCAGAATTGTTTGTGGTAGATGGTTATATGTAATCAATATGTATTAGCAGGTTGTTAGGTTCAAGTATCCAAGGTTTTTTTAAGACTCTACGAGGACAGAGGGGACTGCTTGGTCTTTGATTTGTGAAGAACATTACGGATTGACAGTATTAGTCGATTAATTTATCAGAAGTCAGGCAGGCTACCTGAAATTTTGACAGATGGAGACAGAAACATATTTGATGAATACAGTTGCTGGACTTCAATTCAATTATGAAAATCTTAACTCTGAGGTTGAACGATGCCTTATATACTCTCAAATGTCACTGTAACCATCTTATTTTATCCTGTTTGTGCAATATTAAGACATGGTTTAGAATATTGACATCAGAATTTGCTGTGCAGAGTTAGGTCCCTTGGATACATCTGGATGTTCAGGTGAGGATTAGAACCCCTGATTCTCGTTCATTTTCCCCAAGAGTTTAGAGTCTGTAATAGATACAGTGATCTGAAGGACATTAAGTGAGTGAGTGAAGCTTTTCTCCTACATAAGATTGGTAATGTAGCTGAAGTCCTCGTAGAATGCTTTCACTTGCTTAACCAAAGTGATTAAACTTAGGCTTTCATTTAGTTAAGACATTTTTGTTTTCCTATGGAAATTTGAATGCCTTCACATGGAAAGCTATTTTAGTCTTTCTGATAATCAAATATTAGTTACAAATTATTGATTGAATGTAAGTATTAAGAACTTGCAAGATGCCCTTTCCTTGGTATAAAAACTGTTCTGAGCCAAAGAAGAATATTGCCGGTCCATACATTTCATTGTTTAGTTCATAACACTGTCATTGTGTACATAAATCTGTTTCATTGTTTTCACATCAGAATGTCTTCATAGAACGCTTTCACTTGCTTAACCAAAATGACTAAACTTACTAATAGGCGTTCATTTAGTTAAGTCATTTTTGTTTTCTATGGAAATTTGAATGCCTTCACATGGAAAGCTTAGTCTGTTTTAGTCTTTCTGATATTCACATTTTAGTTTTGAAACTTAATGATTGAGTGTAAGTATTAAGAACTTACAAGATGCCCTTTCCTTGGTAAAAAACTAATGTCCTGAGCCAAAGAAGAATATTGTCGGTCCTTACATTTCATTATTTAGTTCATAACACAGTCATTGTGTACATAAATCTGTCTCATTGTTTTCACATCAGAATGTCTTCATGAAACACTCAAATCGGTCACACTTGTCCTTCAGGTACAAGTTTTAAAATGTATTGTAAATAAATACTTAATAAGATATCACTTGTTTGTAATGCAAGACCATCTGCCCTGGGAGTGCAACACTACAGCTGTCAGGATTTCTGCATATGAAATATCCTCAACCTGTGCCCAAACTGTATAGGGGCATGGAAGCCCCAGTCATCGGAGGTGCTGTTGTCGTATGACAATCGAGGGGTTTCCAAGCACCACAATTCAATGTATTGTGTGGCACTAAACTCAGCCACACTAATTAAGGAACACTTCTGAACCTTTGGTATGAGTACTACTCTGAGTGAGTTTAGTTTTACGCCGCACTCAGCAGTATTCCAGCTATATGGCGACGGTATGTAAATAATCGAGTCTGGACCAGACAATCCAGGCATCAACAGCATAAACATCGATCTATGCAACTGGGATACCATGACACGTGTCAACCCAGTCAGCGAGCCTGACCACCCGACCCCGTTAGTCGCCTCTTACGACAAGCATCGATTACTAAAGATCAATTCTAACCCGGACCTTCACGGGTCGTACTACTCTGAAAGCATCAACATGTCTCTTCTTTGTCGTACACATTGACATGTCAACTTCATTGAAAAGGATCCACTGCAGGATTCAGTTTGAAGAAACTGATACTGGAAGGTAGTTCTGGAACTTGAGACCTTGATTTGGGTAACAAGAAAACACTGAAATTGTAAAAAGTTTTATTTCTGAATGAAAAGATGTAATTTGTTCAAATACCCACGATTTCCGTTATTGTTACCAAATACTCATAATACTTGTACTGGACAAAAATGTATGTATACATGCATGACAATATATTACAAATAGAACCATTCCATTAAACATAATGATTTACTAAATGAAAGACATCAGTGTATAATATGTAATAGATATAATCAGCACATTAATGATGTTTTATTACCTTTTGTCCTTCAGGTAAATCACTCATTTGTACCTCACACTTTGGAGTTGGTGTGTGACATACAAACCCCGGGTTTGGGGGCGGAGTGGATACACACAACTACTCTTTTTTTAGTTTTACATTTGTCAACTGTTTACTGGGCTTTACTTCAAGGCAACCATATACGATTATAAGGTCACATAGACCAGTTGTTCCACTGTCTCCAAGCATATGACCCATTAAGATCTGGGTAGAATTGGTCTCCAGCAACCAATGCTTGTTATAAGAGGTGACAAACAGGATAAGGTGGTGGACCTGGTTGATGCATGTCACTGGATTGATGCATTGTCCGTATGTATACTATGCCATCATAAAGTCACTGGAACTGCCAATAAAGCTGGAAAATAGCTGAGGGTGTCATTAAACAAAAAACAAACCAAGCATAAGAGTTTCTAGGGGAACCAAGTAAAAGCCAATTCTTCAGTATAAAATACACATATACTGTAGTAAATGTGCTGTTCAGAGGGTAAAGATCTTTCTGACTTGTGGCAGTGGGGTACCTGAGTGGTTAAAGCGTTTGCTCATCACTTCAAGGACCCGGGTTCGATATCCCCACTATGGTACAATGTGTGAAGCCCTTTTCTGGTGTCCCCTGCCGTGATATTGCTAAAAGCGGCATTAACCCATACACACTCACTTACTCTTTCACTCACACAGACTTTGTGCCTGTGATTTGCATTAGGATTAAGCTGCAGCAGAAGCTTGACATAGCAGATTGGGATTCTGGGATAGAACTGGTCCCCAACAACCTGTCCCAGAGGACTCCAAAGGGATGGGGTTGTTGGGCCTGTGTCAATGCATCCATGTAGTGTGAAGCCTTGCTCACAATATTAATATTGAAATATTGAAACTAAACATATAGAGGGGCAATATTGTTTTTGTGAAACACACTAAAGCATACCAAACAAAAACAAGGTTACAAGCACTTTTTAAGAAGGAAGACTTGATCTTCAACAACCCATGCTTGTCATGAGAGGGGACTAATAATAAGTGAATTTATAAAGTGCTAAAAAAACTCCAGGCACTAAGTGTCTGCCTTAAGCACTATGATGGTTATGTACACAGTATTTAAAGCAAGTAGGTACAAGGAAATCGAGCAGTGATAATATTTTTGGAAAACGAATGTATTTAAATGGGATTAGGTGGTCAGGCTCGCTGACGCACATCATATCTCAGTTGTGAAGATTGATTTTCATAATGTTGATCACTGGATTGTCTGGTCCAAATTAGATTATTTACAGACTGCAGCAATATAGCTGGAATACTGCAGACTGGCATTAACAACAAACCAACAAAACACACAAATATGAAAATTGGGAGTATCAGAGTTCTGTCCTACAAGTACAATGTAGATCCAATGAGTTTCTCAACATTCTTACAAGGAGGTAGAATACAAGGAGTATAGGAAAATGTTGCACTGAAAACATTTGTAAAAGTACCTCTTGCAAAAGAAAGTTAATTTCCCTTGAATGAGTAACATTATTGTTTGTCTCAAAACATACGTAGCTTTCCCAGTATGCCATGCCTCATAAGAGAAATTCAAAGTATTCAGTATGGCTCAGGGGTTCAAAAATCCCATCGCCTGACGCCCGGGGCAAGTCAGTTTTCATTTTGGGCAATCAAATAATGGTATCTTACTTGTCTGTGGGGTACTAGATAATTTCAACGTATGGTTTCAAACTGCAAATAAACTTGGATATAATTTCATGTCTGCTCAAAATGTAGCTATTAAATTTCGCAATGATAATAAAGTAGAGGTATTTTTCTTTACTATCTATCACTTTTCAATAAATAGTCCAGTAAACATTAACATCAAATACCATGTTGATTTATTCTTTCATAATTACATCATCATGATTATGTGATAAAATCAGGGCAAGTGGAAAATTAGTCAGGACAAGTTACTTTCTTAAAATCACTTGCCCTGTGGCAAGTGGCCTTTAAAAAAAAAAAGTTTGAACCCCTGATGGCTAGTGAAAATGAATTGTTATCATATACAACTGACAATCCAAATGAACTAGTGCTTAACAATAATGCTGTCATAAGAGGCGACTAACAGGATCCGGTGATCAGATTCGCTGACATATCATCTTATCCCACTCAAGTAGATGGATGCTCATGATGTTGATCACTGGATTGATGCATCCAGACTCCCGTATATACAGACCGCCGCCATATAGCCAGAATACTGCTGAGTGCGGCATTAAAGAGCAAACAAACAAAACAAATGTGAAAATCAGGAGTATCAGAGTTCTGCCCTATAAGTACAACTAGATCCAATGAGTTTCATATCCCATATCCCATTCCATATGGTTCATTAATGACAGCTAGTCAGTTTGAGAACATGGTTCCTGTTTCATAAATCAAGCACAGTATTCCAGTTCAACTGTCAAAGTTTTGTTACAATATTCGTTATTTGAAACACTCTGTTTCCGTCCATCTCCCACTATCATCGTCATCATCTACATGTAGTTAATCTTTTGCTCCAGTTCCTTTCCACTGCTGCTGTATTTCTGTTCATTGGTGCCATTGTTCAAGGAAGAGTTTTCATCTTTTTGCACTTTGTCTGGGTCTTCTGAGTTAGTAAGTTGAACATCCATGATGATCTGTTGTCCATCTGTCCTGCGATAAAAGCGGCGGGCAAGCAGCGCCAGAAGGAACATTTCCACAATGACAATGAGATGGTTCCAAACTGAAATTGAAAACAGAGCTTATTAACATCATTTGCAGTTAGATACCAGTCATTTGTTGGGTGTTTCATAGCAAGAGGTGTGTGTGCGTGTACATGTGCGTGTGCTTGTGTGGTTTGACACAGTTTTTAGCAACATTCCAGCAATACCACGGTGGGGCACACCAGAAATGGGCTTCACACATTGTACCCATGTGGGGAATAGAACCTGGGTCTTCAGCGTGACGAGCAGACGCTTTAACCACTAGGCTAGCCCACTGCCCCTGGTGTTTCAGAAGAAATCAGGATAATCACCAAAGAGTCACAAGGGAACGGTTGAAAAAAATTGGGGGATGGTCTTGAAAAAATGGACATTTTAGGATAAAAATTAAAATGCTTTTGCATTTGGTCATTTAGGAGAGGGTCACACAAAAATATGGCATGCATTCCGGAAGGGTAACTATTTTCAGCATATTAGTGTATTCAAAATAAAAAAAGTCCCCAAGTTCACATCTTTTCTTTTATCGGTGGGAGTAAACTGATGACATTATTATGACTTTAGTTTCAAAAAGAAGACAGAAGACAGTATTGGTGTACAGGGAAGATGGTCTTTGCTGACTAGGTGTGACACTTACTATAGTCTAGTGCAGCAGAAGACAAGTATTGGTGTACAGGGAAGATGGTCTTTGCTGACTAGGTGTGACACTTACTATAGTCTAGTGCAGCAGAAGACAAGTATTGGTGTACAGGGAAGATGGTCTTTGCTGACTAGGTGTGACACTTACTATAGTCTAGTGCAGCAGAAGACAAGTATTGGTGTACAGGGAAGATGGTCTTTGCTGACCAGATGTGACACTTACTATAGTCTAGTGCAGCAGAAGACAAGTATTGGTGTACAGGGAAGATGGTCTTTGCTGACCAGATGTGACACACTACTATAGTCTAGTGCAGCAGAAGACAAGTATTGGTGTACAGGGAAGATGGTCTTTGCTGACTAGGTGTGACACTTACTATAGTCTAGTGCAGCAGAAGACAAGTATTGGTGTACAGGGAAGATGGTCTTTGCTGACTAGGTGTGACACTTACTATAGTCTAGTGCAGCAGAAGACAAGTATTGGTGTACAGGGAAGATGGTCTTTGCTGACAAGGTGTGACACTTACTATAGTCTAGTGCAGCAGAAGACAAGTATTGGTGTACAGGGAAGATGGTCTTTGCTGACAAGGTGTGACACTTACTATAGTCTAGTGCAGCAGAAGACAAGTATTGGTGTACAGGGAAGATGGTCTTTGCTGACCAGATGTGACACTTACTATAGTCTAGAGCAGCAGAAGACAAGTATTGGTGTACAGGGAAGATGGTCTTTGCTGACTAGATGTGACACTTACTATAGTCTAGTGCAGCAGAAGACAAGTATTGGTGTACAGGGAAGATGGTCTTTGCTGACTAGATGTGACACTTACTATAGTCTAGTGCAGCAGAAGACAAGTATTGGTGTACAGGAAGATGGTCTTTGCTGACAAAGATGTGACACTTACTATAGTCTAGTGCAGCAGAAGACAAGTATTGGTGTACAGGGAAGATGGTCTTTGCTGACCAGATGTGACACTTACTATAGTCTAGAGCAGCAGAAGACAAGTATTGGTGTACACGGAAGATGGTCTTTGCTGACCAGATGTGACACTTACTATAGTCTAGTGCAGCAGAAGACAAGTATTGGTGTACAGGGAAGATGGTCTTTGCTGACCAGATGTGACACTTACTATAGTCTAGAGCAGCAGAAGACAAGTATTGGTGTACAGGGAAGATGGTCTTTGCTGACCAGATGTGACACTTACTATAGTCTAGTGCAGCAGAAGACAAGTATTGGTGTACAGGGAAGATGGTCTTTGCTGACCAGATGTGACACTTACTATAGTCTAGTGCAGCAGAAGACAAGTATTGGTGTACAGGGAAGATGGTCTTTGCTGACTAGATGTGACACTTACTATAGTCTAGAGCAGCAGAAGACAAGTATTGGTGTACAGGGAAGATGGTCTTTGCTGACCAGATGTGACACTTACTATAGTCTAGAGCAGCAGAAGACAAGTATTGGTGTACAGGAAGATGGTCTTTGCTGACTAGATGTGACACTTACTATAGTCTAGTGCAGCAGAAGACAAGTATTGGTGTACAGGGAAGATGGTCTTTGCTGACTAGATGTGACACTTACTATAGTCTAGTGCAGCAGAAGACAAGTATTGGTGTACAGGGAAGATGGTCTTTGCTGACTAGGTGTGACACTTACTATAGTCTAGAGCAGCAGAAGACAAGTATTGGTGTACAGGGAAGATGGTCTTTGCTGACCAGATGTGACACTTACTATAGTCTAGTGCAGCAGAAGAAAAGTATTGGTGTACAGGGAAGATGGTCTTTGCTGACAAGGTGTGACACTTACTATAGTCTAGTGCAGCAGAAGACAAGTATTGGTGTACAGGGAAGATGGTCTTTGCTGACCAGATGTGACACACTTACTATAGTCTAGAGCAGCAGAAGACAAGTATTGGTGTACAGGAAGATGGTCTTTGCTGACCAGATGTGACACTTACTATAGTCTAGAGCAGCAGAAGACAAGTATTGGTGTACAGGGAAGATGGTCTTTGCTGACCAGATGTGACACTTACTATAGTCTAGTGCAGCAGAAGAAGTATTGGTGTACAGGGAAGATGGTCTTTGCTGACTAGATGTGACACTTACTATAGTCTAGTGCAGCAGAAGACAAGTATTGGTGTACAGGGAAGATGGTCTTTGCTGACTAGGTGTGACACTTACTATAGTCTAGTGCAGCAGAAGACAAGTATTGGTGTACAGGGAAGATGGTCTTTGCTGACCAGATGTGACACTTACTATAGTCTAGTGCAGCAGAAGACAAGTATTGGTGTACAGGGAAGATGGTCTTTGCTGACTAGATGTGACACTTACTATAGTCTAGTGCAGCAGAAGACAAGTATTGGTGTACAGGGAAGATGGTCTTTGCTGACTAGGTGTGACACTTACTATAGTCTAGTGCAGCAGAAGACAAGTATTGGTGTACAGGGAAGATGGTCTTTGCTGACTAGGTGTGACACTTACTATAGTCTAGTGCAGCAGAAGACAAGTATTGGTGTACAGGGAAGATGGTCTTTGCTGACTAGGTGTGACACTTACTATAGTCTAGTGCAGCAGAAGACAAGTATTGGTGTACAGGGAAGATGGTCTTTGCTGACTAGGTGTGACACTTACTATAGTCTAGTGCAGCAGAAGACAAGTATTGGTGTACAGGAAGATGGTCTTTGCTGACTAGGTGTGACACTTACTATAGTCTAGTGCAGCAGAAGACAAGTATTGGTGTACAGGGAAGATGGTCTTTGCTGACCAGATGTGACACTTACTATAGTCTAGTGCAGCAGAAGACAAGTATTGGTGTACAGGAAGATGGTCTTTGCTGACTAGGTGTGACACTTACTATAGTCTAGTGCAGCAGAAGACAAGTATTGGTGTACAGGGAAGATGGTCTTTGCTGACTAGGTGTGACACTACTATAGTCTAGAGCAGCAGAAGACAAGTATTGGTGTACAGGGAAGATGGTCTTTGCTGACTAGATGTGACACTACTATAGTCAAGTGCAGCAGAAGACAAGTATTGGTGTACAGGGAAGATGGTCTTTGCTGACCAGATGTGACACTACTATAGTCTAGTGCAGCAGAAGACAAGTATTGGTGTACATGGAAGATGGTCTTTGCTGACTAGATGTGACACTTACTATAGTCTAGTGCAGCAGAAGAGAAGTATTGGTGTACAGGGAAGATGGTCTTTGCTGACTAGATGTGACACTTACTATAGTCTAGTGCAGCAGAAGACAAGTATTGGTGTACAGGGAAGATGGTCTTTGCTGACTAGGTGTGACACTTACTATAGTCTAGTGCAGCAGAAGACAAGTATTGGTGTACAGGGAAGATGGTCTTTGCTGACCAGATGTGACACTTACTATAGTCTAGTGCAGCAGAAGACAAGTATTGGTGTACAGGGAAGATGGTCTTTGCTGACCAGATGTGACACTTACTATAGTCTAGAGTGCAGCAGAAGACAAGTATTGGTGTACAGGGAAGATGGTCTTTGCTGACCAGATGTGACACTTACTATAGTCTAGAGCAGCAGAAGACAAGTATTGGTGTACAGGGAAGATGGTCTTTGCTGACCAGATGTGACACTTACTATAGTCTAGAGCAGCAGAAGACAAGTATTGGTGTACAGGGAAGATGGTCTTTGCTGACTAGGTGTGACACTTACTATAGTCTAGTGCAGCAGAAGACAAGTATTGGTGTACAGGGAAGATGGTCTTTGCTGACAAGGTGTGACACTTACTATAGTCTAGTGCAGCAGAAGACAAGTATTGGTGTACAGGGAAGATGGTCTTTGCTGACCAGATGTGACACTTTACTACTATAGTCTAGTGCAGCAGAAGACAAGTATTGGTGTACAGGGAAGATGGTCTTTGCTGACTAGGTGTGACACTTACTATAGTCTAGTGCAGCAGAGCAGAAAAGTATTGGTGTACAGGGAAGATGGTCTTTGCTGACCAGATGTGACACTTACTATAGTCTAGAGCAGCAGAAGACAAGTATTGGTGTACAGGGAAGATGGTCTTTGCTGACTAGATGTGACACTACTATAGTCTAGTGCAGCAGAAGACAAGTATTGGTGTACACGGAAGATGGTCTTTGCTGACCAGATGTGACACTTACTATAGTCTAGTGCAGCAGAAGACAAGTATTGGTGTACAGGAAGATGGTCTTTGCTGACTAGATGTGACACTTACTATAGTCTAGTGCAGCAGAAGACAAGTATTGGTGTACAGGGAAGATGGTCTTTGCTGACCTAGATGTGACACTTACTATAGTCTAGTGCAGCAGAAGACAAGTATTGGTGTACAGGGAAGATGGTCTTTGCTGACTAGGTGTGACACTTACTATAGTCTAGTGCAGCAGAAGACAAGTATTGGTGTACA